TTTGTCATCAGTGACACAGTCATCCTATAAAGGTAAACCAAATCATGACAGCGTCCGAAAAACTGTCGCAACATCCACCTTAACTTTAGCATTTGTTACTCTCTTTTTTTTTTGGTAGCAGTTTTCAAAGAAATCATGAAAGGGAAGTAAAATAAATAATAATTTCCTTAGTAAACACATTTTATTTATTTATCTTTGAAAAAATATGCAAAACTGATTGACATGGCTAGCTATCCAACTTCGTCCTCTTTCATAGGTAACACCTTCCCCATATAATACAATAGTAGTGAGTGTCAAGCATAGATGATATCTTTTTTAAGAAGTATTTTATGATTATGTATACACCACTAATATATGTCATGAAATTAGTCTTTTAATTAAATCATTAAGCGTTAATATTTCACGTAAGCATTTGAAGCTTCTAATTTCTCATCTTCCAAAAAGTAAAATCACAAAAACTCCGAGGAGAATTAAAAAAGGAAAGTCCCTAATCAAATGGCAAAATTAAAAGCTCAAACACATCAAACGAATGGATAACAACTGTCATATTCTTGACTTGGTACAGACATTTTCTTATGTAGAAAATGGTGGTTTGAACCTGGTTTTATAGCTAGCTAAACCTCTCACTTGTATGACAGTCGCATCTGTTCTTATATACGTTCCTAAAGGAACTACAAAACTATGAAAATGTAAAGACCAGGGGGAATCAATAACCATTAGGGAAATGAAAACAGACAATATCATGGCCAAATAAGAAAAACGAAAGACAAACAGCAATAGTAAAACATTACACAGAAACTAAAGATTGAGCACGAACCCAACCAACAAACCTGAAGTAAAAGCTATAAGCAAGCCCGTAACCTACAGCTTATCGCCTCATAGTAAATTTTGTTCAATGTCTATGAGTGTTTATGAACATTAATAATTATCGATTTCACACAAGTAAGAGCAACTGACATGTCAAAACCATTACTGTTTGCTCATAAAAGCTCCCTTTTGTTTGTTAAAGAAACACTAGCTTATCCGGGTACCAGAAAAAAAAAAACAATTGTTCGAACTTTTCACTAGTGTCAACATTGATCGCACAATCCGTGTAAAAAAAACCTTGTAAATATTAGTCACTAATACAGGCATCTGAAAGATATTCTTGCTCTCTAAGCCTTGCAATGACCAGTTTACAATTTATTTCGTAAGGATTATGGATGCAAAACCAATACGTTAAGACACCATATGAATTGATAAATTGTCCATTCAAAAATAAATCATAAATATCAGATTTAATAAAATAGACTGATGAAATATGTCTTCCAATGCTTGTAACCTTCTGTAGCAATTAAAACCCACCAACCTTATAGCTGAGAGTATGCTGTCCATCTTCCATCTAAAATGTTTCATTCACTTTAATAAATAAATTAACTAGTCTCGACATGTCTTTTTAGGTCTTACAAAAGTAGTCGAAATAAGTTTACCTTCTTCGTCAATTGTTACAACTTGATCATCATTTTTTTTTATTTTTATGAACTAAAATGTCACATTTGTGTTCGTTCAGATTTTATTTCCTGAAACGATATTGAAATGATAGCTCAATAAATCCTAATATGTAACCTATGAGGCATCGTATTGTAAGTTTATCTGTTGAAATTAACTTATAAAAATTCTTAATCGTCAACTATTTTCTCCTTATCACAAACCTGTAATATGTTTTGCCCTGTCTATGCTGATCTGACAGCTTTCAAATGAGCACACGGTTAGACTATCCTCAGTTCCTGAACTATTTCCCAAGGGTGATAGGGGAATAGAAGTATGATCTTCTTCCGACCGGCAGCGAAATCCTTGCCAAAGTGGGCGTTCGTACGGCTGTTGGGCATGAACAAGATCGCAGCCACATCCGGCTCTCTGCATGTTGAAAAACCTTGCAACAACTATTTCAGGGGTCATTAGGTGGCCTCTTGCAAAGCAACATTTCTTTTCCTATCCAATATACCCTCATATAACAGGACCTACCTATTTCATTTATTGTTAATTTATTTTCGTCCAGAACATGCATGAAATATTTGACATTGTACGTTTAGCAACCATTAATCAAACAATGAATTCATGAAAAGGTTGCATTTGCCTCTCATTCATCTGTTATAGCAATGTTTTCTATGTGAGCTTCTTTTTTTAACACTAAATTCAATACTAGTATGTCTTGAGGTAGAATCATTATTGTAGCAGCCTTTTCACCTTCTGTCAGCTTGTTTACATATGTATCATCCTTTCTGAATAAAATTTCAATAATAGGTGTTACATAGCCCTTTAGTTGCTGTTCTGTTTATTCAGATAATGTTATCATTTTCAGTCTCATATACATGGAGATATTATGCATTTGACTGGTAGAAGTTAACCTAGCAACGCTTCTCGGCAGTATCAAACAACATTATTTTTTTTTCAACTGAACCTCATAAAGTGAAAAATCAATATGCAATATAGAAAATAATTTGTCAAAAGGAAAATTGCGTTATTAATTCTCCATATCTGAAGTTAACAGACTGTCTAGTTATGTCTCTATTACTTTTGGTTCCAGTTTTCCTGTCGACAGAATTCATTTACTTTATCTACGAATTTATACAGATCATTTGAATGCAAGCATCAATTCTGCCTTGCTTCAATTTAGAAACAATACACGCATTCTTAGTATAAATTGACAGAGTGTTCATCCATTGGTTGTTTTATAATCAGGTGCATATGTATGTTTCTTTTCTGACCATTAAAAAAATCTTCGTTTTTTTCCTCGTTATAATCGACACTTACATTTTTAGAGAATCACTGAATGTTATCAAGATTTGAGCACCTGTTTCATTTGTTCGTTGTATGTTGTCATAGAGTTATGAAACATGTCCCAGTTACAATTCGTATTTACTACAAGAATTAATACGTATAACGTACAAAGGTAGCATGTTTTTACGTACATTATCATATTGAATAGTTTCAATATCGTAACATCATTACTATCGATTTGCTTACAATTGTGTCCGTTCATTACGGTATATTATTAAAATTTGACACATAAAACTGTCCGCTTACATGACTTACTGTTATTGTCACTTGTATTACATGTTAAACTGCTTTAAAGTATATTTTCGCCATTAAATCATAATTTGTTTTTTACATTGTTTAATTACGAAATCGCTGATAATTGGGTTATGAAGTACTTATCTTAACATATCAGTTGACTCTTGATATTAACAAAAACCACAATGATAATGAAAAAATAACTAGTATGAGCCATTATAGGATTATGTCATACTGGAGCATTCTGAGAAGAAGGTCACAAAGGGCCTCTCAATTTTATTGTTAGTTAATGCTGACGTGTTTTTTTCATGTGATGCTCCTATTTAAATTTTGCCTCATATGAATACAGAAAAGTCATAGAGAAAGGGAGCAAAGGTGGTTGCCGTACGAAAACAGATTTTCCAATAATGCGTTCCCCAAGCGTTATTAGTATATTATCAATACAAAAGTGAAGCATCTTGACTTGTCTTTAAAACAGAATTTTCTTAATTGTCAAAGTTTGATATATCCTTTCCAAAAACCAGTTAATGTGTATATGTATCTCAGTTGTTCTTTTATATGAAACTCAGATGATGAGTTTATTTACAGCCACTGGGTCAATGCGACTGCTGGTGGGTTTTTTCTCCCCGAGGGTATCACCAACCCAGTAGTCAGCACTTTTGTGTTGAAATGAATTATCACTATATGATCATTGTTATAAATTAACTGTATACAAAACTTTGAAATACTAAGTATTTTTTACCACAGGAATAGATTTCCTAAGCTGTATCTGGCAAAATTCTAGGAATTTTGTGTCCTCAACGTCCTCAACTTCGTACTTTATTTGGCCTTTTTAACTTTTTGATTCGAGCGTCACTGGTGAGTCTTTTGTAGACGAAAGTAATATAACAAAAATCCCGAAATCTAAAAAAAATTCAAATCGGAAAGTCTCGTACCAAATTGCAAAATCAAAAACTGAAACACATCAAACGAATGGAAAACAACTGTCATCTTCTCTGCCTTGGTACAGGCATTTCCTTATGTCTGGCGTAAAAAAATTTAATCCTGGTATTTATAATGAGGTTGTCTGGAATAGCTCTTTAAATATTTTTTAAAATATCAATGCAAAAGATTTAAAAAAATAATCGAGCAGAATTAACTTTTTTAGTAATATCTATCATTTAAAAAAAGTACAAACAGCTGATATGTATAGAAATGTATAAAATAATATTTTACAGAGAATATTTAACGAATTTCGATAATAAAAACAATAATTACCAATAATTGATAATAGACTCTGGTTTCAAATTGTTTTGTCTTACTTTTCAATCATTTGATTTAAAACTACCGCTCTGAATATGAGACAACCCTTGTAAGGAAAATTTGATAAAACTTAATACCAGTAAAGATCAACCAAAATCTCTTTTGTTTATATACTGCATAGAAAAAGTAATATATACCTGTAAAACTAAAATAATAATAACAGACAGAGACGTTAAAAGGAAAGAGATACATTAAACTTAAAACTTGGTACTGGACGTCACCATCCAGACAATTATTTTTTTAAATCTTACCACTTTACTGTATTTAACATTTAAAGACGATAACAATAAATTATAACCTACTAATCAAATAACTTAGGCACATAAAAAGTAAAACCCATACACACCACATATGTATTAAAACAATAAAAAGATCCAACAGCGTGCTAAATGACCAATGCAATGGCAAATAAACTATGCCTGTTAGCAACTAAAAAAAAAACCCAGATATTAGTTTTGTTTGATTTTTTTCCTGTCTAAGTAATCACCAATATACATATGAATTGGTCCCAACACCGCTACAATTAGGGAGCAGATACCAATGGGACAATCAAAAGCAATGCATCTAGCAAGCCTAAACAAAATTAATGTAAAACATAACTATTTGCTGTTTATTAAATGTGTTAAAATTTCTTACAGATGAATCGATTAAACCTAAGCTTCAATTAAGTGGACAGATTTTAGTGCAGAACAATAACACCCTATTCAGATTTCGGTGCTCTGCAAACGATTCACCACTGAAATACCATGCTGAGTTTCTCATGGATTCAATGACTTTGAACACTTTAAGAGTTCACGATAAAAAATGTTACGACAGGTATGGAAAATGTACAAAAATGCGATGTAAATGTGGCCTTGCAGAAAACACATTCATATGGACCACCAATCGTTCAGCTGATGTCAATTTTCAGGAAAAGAATGCAGAAGTGATATGTTTAATGAAGTTTAAGCTTTCAAATGGACATATACTCGATGCCTTTACAGGAGTAATATTCAACGGTAGTGGTAACTATTTGTTTTGTTTATTTCCAAAGCAGTCTCGCACATTTTATAAATGTAACGGTTGCACATCAAAGTTCGGGAAAACTCTCATAAGTCCAAATATGAGACAGAAAAAAGAGATTGAAAATGATACGATATTAAAGTTAACTCAGATGCGTCCATTTTGAAATGAGTCGGGTTGAACTTTGCTAATGACATGGGATAACACGAATGAATATATTGTTGTCTAAAAGTACGATGCCCTCTGTATTGTAGTAAACAAGCTTGTACTAAAATGAACTATCATTGATACTGCATTTTTGGTAAAACTGATATTGATAATGCGCTAAAATAGTTCAAACTACAAGATTTTATTTTCAATGTTTATATAACATTAGCCTGATTATGCACAATATTTTAAAATTTGGATTTTCACGTCTATCAATTTTGGTCGAAATACCAACTGATATGGCCTTTTGTCTGTTTTTATCTGAGTGCCAATATTGAATCTTGTGTAGATGAGTTGCATTTGGCGTTAGACATACATTTTATAAGCATGACATCTTTGTAATTTTACACTGATGAACTTATTTCAAAATGATTGCAAAGGACAAGATATTCTGCATTTTCTGCAATCAAAGACTGATTACTACGGCTAACACTTTTTAACCTCTTTTTACACCGAAATTAATGGTCATATTATGTACATGTATCTCCTTGACACAATAACTTATATTTACACTTATTAGGATTTTCCAACAAATATAAATATATTTGGGTAATATTATAAATGTTCAATCTACTACAAAGCATATACGGTACTCTTCTATCTATCATATACATGTTTTAGTCGTAAGAAATAATGATCTAAGATTGTGAAAAAGATTTGTCTAGGGGCATCTGAAACAGTTTCTCGTTATATTGACAATTTATAATTTTAAAATATTGTGTAGGCCTCGGCGAGTTAGTCAATTATCCCTGCAATGTTATCGGCGACTTTTTTCTTGTATATATATATATATATATAGCTTAGAAAAGGTACCTTAACATATTATAAAATTGCTTTTGATAATAAAAACATGAGTATGATAAATACCTCTCTCATTTTATTTGGTTCATGATCCAATCTAAAAACATATCAGGTTAGTTTTATTGTGTTTTTTTTTAAACTTCTTTACTGTTTAATTTAAAGTCTCGCAGCAATGCAGAGCTAGACATGCCGGTACTGTGTACACACTCGTGTATTGTTTAAGACCGTATGTTGACCTCTTGATATTTTGTTTCGGTTGGTGGACTACTTGTTTCATTGACATACACCCAAAACAATTCACGTTTTAGTTTTGTTTTAAGAATTTCACATTTATTCTTATAATCAAACTGTTATTTGGGTAAATGATTACAGTTAAAGAAAACTTAGCAATAATTTTTAAAAAATCAATCAATCACAAATGAATGAATTTACATCATGCAGACATGTTACCTATCAAATTGCAAAAATATACCGAAATTACAATTTTAAACAAGTCACTTATACTATTTATAAACTGGTTAGTAAATGATCAGAACTACAACATAATGTTGTGAAAACCTTAAAGTATAGCTGTGATGATTTTTGTACAGATTTAAATATTTAAATTTAAAAGAATAACAGTGTGTAATACATTTATGGAAAAACTGGCCATACCTGTCTTAGCAATGTACTTTTATATTGACATATTTTCTTCTCGCAATTACCAATATTTCATCAGTTTTTTTTGTAAAAGTTTCTGTCAAAATCAGAATATATTCCTTATAGCGTAATTTTGTTAATAATTAACTAGCGCGTCGGGCATAGTGAAAGGCGATTTGGTGCCACGATATCAGTAGCATGAGTTCGAATCCCGGCTAGGGAAGAACAAAAAAAAAACTGTTTTCGCAAATTTACAGATCTAACATTGTTGGGCTGTTGTTTATAGATGAATTATATATACAGAATGTATTTCCAGCCTTGTATCACCATCACTGCTGGTGATCCGATGAATAAAATCTGTTGTAGAGTCGTCACTGGTTCAGACGTACTTATAATATAATTATTTCTGTGACTGTATCTTACATAAATTTGTAGGATCCTTTACAATAGATAATTCAGGTGATCTGAAACAATTCCATCCTCATGCCTTATATATCATGTACTGTGTTACGACGCTCTAGATAAAAACTGACCAGGAAAGGTAACACCCGGCCACCGAAAGCTTTATTATTATAGAGCCTAGGTGGTCGAGTGGTCTAGCGCGTCGGGCATAATGCAAGGCGATTTGGTGCCACGATATCAGTAGCATGAGTTCGAATCACGGCTAGGGAAGAACAAAAAAAATTTGTTTTCGCAAATTTACAGATCTAACATTGTTGGGCTGTTGTTTATAGATGAATTATATATACAGAATGTATTTTCAGCCTTGTATCACCATCACTGCTGGTGATCCGATGGATAAAATCTGTTGTAGAGTCGTCACTGGTTCAGACGTACTTATAATATAATTATTTCTGTGACTGTATCTTACATTAATTTGTAGGATCCTTTACAATAGATAATTCAGGTGATCTGAAACAATTCCATCCTCATGCCTTATATATCATGTACTGTGTTACGACGCTCTAGATAAAAACTGACCAGGAAAGGTATAACCCGGCCACCGAAAGCTTTATTATTATAGAGCCTAGGTGGTCGAGTGGTCTAGTGCGTCGGGCATAATGCAAGGCGATTTGGTGCCACGATATCTCAGAAGCATGAGTTCGAATCCCGGCCAGGGAAGAACACAAAAAATTTGCGGAAGCAAATTTACAGATCTAACATTGTTGGGCTGTTGTTTAGACGAATTAGAGATATATATATATATATATAAAGTGCCTAGAAAATCAACCTAACAATGTTAGAGTAGATTTGATTTTTTACATCCTCCCCAAGCGGGGCTGGAACCTGTACTTTTCACTTCATACTTCTACGGCAACACCGCCTAGCATTGCGCAGACGCCTTATCCCCTCCTCTAACTATAGCTGATAAAAATCAGCTTTGGTTTCGGGAGGTGTTACCTTCTCATTAAACAAGGACATCTAGACGCAATACACAAAGTATTTTAAGTGTATAGAAATGATCATCTACTCATCTCTTTAGTATAATTACAGGATGTTGTTCTATTTTTAGAAGCATACAATCACTGTAAATTTATATATATGTATGTCTGCCTATGTGTAGTGACAACTGCAAATTATACCTTGTCCATCGGATTTCTTATGATTAAGAAGAACCAGTAACCTAACAATGTAAGAGTAGATTTGATTCTTAACTTCCTCCATAAGCGGGGCTGGAACCTGTACTTTTCACTTCCAAAAACTTGGAAAGTGACGTTTTTGGGGAATTCGATAGCTTAACGTTGCTCCAAGAGTTGACTCCCTTGAAACTGTATCGGATGCCCATAAAATAATTTATTATATCTATTGACCAAACTATAGCGAGAATCGTGTAGCTAGTTCTTTTAGTTAATGAAAGATATATTAAGTAAACAAATGGTACGTTTCCAAGAAGTTGGTAAAACGCTTTGTCGTTTCACACAATGAAAAACAAACGGTCTAGGGAATTATCAATCATTGTTCTGAAGTATTGAGTTCGACAATTGCATCCCATGATGTTATGATTCTTCATATAAAGGTTTCGAAAAAATTAGAATAACTGCCAATCTTTATATGATTTTAGAATATAAAGTGTCAATAATAGTAGGATATAGTATGATATGACTATATGGCAAAACACGTGTTCCATGAATAACATAACCAGGTACACACAAAACCGTGTGAATTTTGAAGCAAAAAACTCTTCAACAATTTAACGTTGATTGTTTCTTTTTAAGTTTTCCTTCAAATAAACCTGACTTTGTCAATTGATTTAATATTGGTTTTATTAATGAACAAAATGGTTAGGAACACCAACATACAACATACAGTTTAAATAAAAGTGAGAGCAAGCTTGTTATTGTTAGTACATTCACAAATAAAATAAAACTCGTCTTATTTACACATATGGATAAAGGAATTGATATGGACTCTGAAATGTTTATTACTTTGAATTGTATGTGAAATTCTGTTTTTTTCTTTTTTCTAGACTTTGTTCCATCACCAAATATTACACAATATGCTGATATCCGTAAAGGTACCCTTAAAGAAGGTGGATTGAAAATATTGCCCAGTGGAGACGTAGAACTGATACTGAAAGAAGATAATCATACGGAATCAGGTAAGTGACATTTATTTTTTAATTTACAATTGCAGTTAAATATGTGTAAATTTACCAAGAAAGCAGAATTCATACAAAACCTTCCCGAAAAAAGAGCAGTTTGAGAAGTCAAAACTGTCCACTGAATTTAAATGTTATCATATTTACACTTTCAGATTTATTGATGATTTCGTGACATTGATATCCCACATTTGAGTCGTGTTAAAATCTCGTTAAATGATAGAGGGTTGTCGCTCACAAGGGAGCTGTTAAACAAAGGGTTCCAACTGATCGATTTGAAGTTATCCCATCGAAAATGTACGGACGCAAAACGAGTTGGTTTCCTGCTATTTAATAGTCATTTTACAGATAACGAGGTATATGTACATGATGTAATAACCAAAGTCCCGTCCCCTATTCCTCGAATCATCCAATTAAATTTACAACCGAGTTTGTATTTATACGAGGACCACCATGGGAGCCATATTTGGTGCATGATCTGCTGACCCTTCCGTAGCACCTGAGATTAACCCCGTTTTTGGTGGAGTTCATGAGTCTCAGTCTTTAGTTTTCTATGCTGTTTTTTGAAAACTGTTGTTTGTCTTTTGGTCGTTTGTGTTTTTTGCCATGAAGGGAAGGGAAGGGTTAACAGTTTGCTAAAATAGTGGTACCCACAGAAAAAAAATTACAGATTTCATCCCTTTTATGTTTTTTCATATATTCGATAAATAAAACCTTAATTTTTCAGCGGTACCTTTCCTGCAGTATGTAGCAATCTTAGCAGTATCCATAATCGTTGTGGTATTGACGATATCACTAGCAATTTACTACTTAGTGAGAAAATGTGGTAAGTTACAAGAAGGCATTCTAATATTTAACAAATGTAATAAACAAGGAGCTTTACATTTTAAACACATTACCATAATCTGACCTATTTTCACAATGACAATGATAAACAGACTTGATAACTTTAAGTTTCAGTAAATCAAATTTACAATTTTAGAAAATAATATCACTTGATTATGACTATTAGTAATTGCAATAAAAATAAACTGATTTCCGTGTAAATACTAAATGTAGACAAAATCTAGATCAGTAAAGGCCATGTAAATGAGTTACTATCTTGCCAGATTGTCAAAAAATCTATTTCAAACTGTACCAAGTCAGAAAAAAGTGATTATGTAAAAGTCCAAAGACGCATTCGTTCTATCAGAGTTCATCAAAAAAGTAGCAAAACATTTTTTTTTGTATTTGGAGTTGTGATGCCCCCGTTCAAGTCTATACCATACAATTACGTTGTCTAGGAGTAAAGAAAATATACTTAACAATATTGTGGTGTAAATTTACAAATTTTTAGTATAGGTACAGAGAGAGGGAGAGGGAGAAAATACCAAGGGGTAATCAAGAATCAGAAGTAAATAAATACACAATGGGAAGAAATAATAACGACTATCATATTTTCCCTTCTTCGATCTATATTCTGGTTCATCACAGCGCTTCAACTTTGGCCTTTATTTGGCCTTTAAACTTTTGATTTGAGAGTCACTGATTGGTCTTTTGTACATGATGTGCGTCTGGCCTACAAAATTATAAGCCTGGTATTTTTGACAAAGTATTATAGTGTTTAGATCGATCTGTCAATTCAGAAGGAAGCAAACACATTTATATATAAATAACACATGAATATCTACCGGACAGATACTGTCACTACAGCTATAGTTCTGGTAATTAAAATCAGAAATACACATATTCGTTAATTCTAATTGGAACACCGACTATAATTCTTTGTCAGGGCAGTCAATATAGTTATGGTGTCTCAAATGATACTCTTTTTTATTTTGTCGCATTAATTAGTCAAAGAAGTATCTCTAAAATCAATTCCGAAAAAAACCCAAAATAAGCCTGAGCGAAAAATATTAAAATATAGAAATTGGACTTTTATAGCTGACTATGCGGTATGGGCTTTGCTCGTTGTTGAAGGCCGTACGGTGACCTATAGTTGTGTCATTTGGTTTCTTGTGAAGAGTTGTCTCATTGGCAATCATAACACATCTTCTTTTTTATATGTGGATGATTTTATATTCTAGATTACTAGACTACATGCTATGAAACCTTACTGGCACCTTTTTCTATAATTTTGAGATCACTGTAAACAGGTTTATAGTTTATTTGATGGTGAGAATCAGAGCATTGTGTGTTTTAGATTAGGAAATGTAGTAGGGTTCGAGCTACTATTTGAAAATGGTATGGATAAGGGTTGGGTTTTAGGGCTAGTTAGGTATTTCTCCATATAGGTTGGAACCCATAAGGATAAATAATTCCCAACATTATATTGTTAACATAAACGTTGTGAAAAATACGATAATTTTGACTAAAACTTATCTTACTAGTATTCTGTTTTAAGGAAGCATGCAGTCTTTAAAATTTTCTATCACTTATAGGAGAATGATAACGACGTTATATAGCTTGTGACGTCACGTGTGATACGTTTGACTTTTGCAAAAAATAGTCTAAATTAAGCAACTGCAATAGTACATGTAAATTTAAGGACATGCGGTATGATAGGAAAAACAACGATACTGTTACCAACCGGAGACCAAGTGACGTGGATTTAACTATAAGTAATTCAACAGCCTTCAAAAAAATATACCTTATAATCAGATATATAAGGTCCCAAAATTATTAAATATTAGCAAACTAACGGCCTGATTTATATCAAAACAATATACAAAAAAAAAAAAAAAAAAAAAAAAAAACGAAAGAAAACAACCATTGAAAATCACTGAATAACAGGCTCCTGTCTTGGGACAGACACACGTAATGTGTCAGTTTAACTGTGCATAAGAGCGCTCAAATCCCTCCTAACCTGAGACAATGGAGTCACATCACAACAGGAGAGCCTAGATGTAGTGGATAGCGCATCGGACTACAAACACAAAGGTTCCTGGTTCGATCCCCGTTTCGGGGAGAAAATTTCAGGGACTGAATTTTCGGGACGATAATTGGCTGACCCGTGTAAAAAGAGATCAATATCTCTTGCACGTAAAAGACACCCTTGTAGATTTCAAAAAAGAGTAGGCTAATGCCGCTACAAGGCAGCACTCGCAACAGCAAAGTGGAAAGGCATTAATATAAGTTGTAATAACTTGTTTCCCAATCCACTATAAATAAATATGTTTAAACTAACATCACAACAAGCATTGTAAGAACAAATTGTTAACACTAGATGTAAATGGTTTGACTCATCAGATAAGCACGCAGAATAAAACACAAATATTATAAAGACACAAGACACAAGGTATCGGCCTAAGTGTACCCAAAGTAACTACAAGCTAGTTTAAAGCCATATACAAAAAACATATGAATAATGTTCTCCTAATCTAAAGTATCAATCAGTTGTATCCGACGGATTTATTGTTCAGACGTAATAAACGGCCTGCAAAGACATGCATTGTGCAATACCAAAGTATAATTCTTATATGACGTTATTCAAACGCTTTGAGTACACACCCGTGGTAAAATGTAAAATATTGTATGTCATCTCATTTGCAACGTCATGATTTGTTTGGGCTGTTCCCATCATAATCCGTCGTAGGCTTTTTACGAATGAGTTACCCAAGATCAATTGGTGTAAATGACGTCACATTAAACAATGAGTTAGAATAAAAGCATTCTACGGGAAATTGCACGAAAGTGAAAATGAAAGTCATCTTAACGCGGAAACATAAACATATAATCATAAATAAATTATTGAGTATCCATTTTCATTTAAATCAGAAGTAAGATATTCCTTTAACTTCGTCTGAACCTGATTAAGTATTTTTGGTAAATCTTTTTAGCATGTAACTTATTCAGTGTTTGTCATTTACGTTAATAGTAAAAGTGTGATTAATTACGGGACTAGAAAATATTTATATTCATTTAGAAAGGTTGCTCTTAGTTAACACAGCTGTTTCACAAGCCACGCCTATTTTGAGGTGATATATAATATTCATAGATATTTTGTTTCGTTTAAGTAATGGTTCTAAGATATGATCTCTGTGTTTCATCTCATGGAGACATAACTTGGGTATGTTACCAGTATAGAAACACAAGGTAGCGGCTAACATTCAATTCTGAGGAGGACCCAAAGTTAAATAGGGCTTTTAAATGTTGAAAATATGCCGCACAGTCATACATTTTGACCTTTGAATAAAATAGTAGCGCATATCAACTTTCCGTTCTAGGATATATTTTTTTTACGAAACTTAATAGTTAAAGTGGCACAGTTGTAGCCGCAAAGGGAGTTCCTATGGGCAATTGCATTGTCTATATTTACAGAATTTTAACCTTAGAGCGCTTCGATCCAAAAGAATTGTCGTATTTGTTCTATAAGAATTATAAAAGATTCATGGGGGCTTGAATTTATAATAATTTTACCATGGGTTAGCCTTTTATGCCAATATTGTTCCCTTGGCTATCTCTTGAGGTAGGTAAATATTTAGCCAACCCTTGGTTAAATTAGTATACATTCAAACCCTAGAGATAATTTCTTTAGTATATAGTTTGGACAAGATCTAAACCACAAATTTTCATAACTGTATAGCAACACATATTAAGTTATGTTTTAATTCATGAAGACAAAATAAAGTTTAGTAACGGTAAAACAATATACATAGATCTTACTAGGGTAATAAATTAATAACCTTTAAGTATAAGTTTTTTGAAAGGATAAAAGCGTTAATATGGATCGTATCTTAATCTACGGGCTCTATAAACAGATTCCCCGTAAAGTTTACGTAAATAATAATGGTACAGCTAAACCTTCAAACAAAGCGGTTGTATCTTTAAATAATTTAATGTTGTTAGGTAAAACGTCTTCTGATTGGCTGAAAGGTTTTTGTCTATCATATCATAGACATAAGTTTGTCATGTGACCGTAAGGTCATCAACTTTTTTGCTTGCTTAACTCATAAGAAATGGAATTTAGAATTAAATTATAAGGAATGACTGTTATATTTTGTGGTTTATTCAGTGTGCTCCATATTGATGATGTTATTGTTTTATAGACAGAAAAAGATATTGCTGTCAAGCGTTAAAGATTTTAATAACAGATATAAAAATAATCTGAAAACGGAATCTGACTTATTGATGTAGCTGTTCTACAAAGGTAACGTTCACTGAAACATAAAATGTCACTACAAACACGGACATAGGCAACAGTTTAAAAAATATAGACACACCTTGCACAGGACAAAAAGAAAAATCAACGTACAGAATAGGAAAATCAACAATAGGGAACGACATTTATTTCTTCATGATTAATAATCTAAACATACAAATCAGCGATTAATAGATTATTTAGCTTTGTTTCTCAATAAATTGTTTCATACTCATCTCACTTCAAGACTGTGCCTACCTATGGGATATGGATGAAACCATAAAAAGTCCATAATTTCCAGATGGACGTTACCCTCCCACCATGTTTTGAGCCACATATCCTAGATATAAAACCCAATAAAAAAGTGCTAAAATGCAATACTTATACACTGGATTTAAACATTGATGTTAAGCACTTATAATGGTCGTATAGGGTACTTGACAATTGAAATCCTCAAAAGGGTAGAGCTTGTTTCATAGACAATGCCTGTGGCATAATAAAAAATGACCTAATTCATAATTTTTACCTTTCATGAACAACACAGCAGATACCACCTATGAAGAATTCAATGTCCAACAATCTGAGTGGGTTCAATAATTAATCGGGTTCGTTGTTTTCAAACAAAGTCAATGAAAAATAGGTTTTGGCATAATATATAGTATCTGCTTAATATACTGGAAACTGATGTTATCATTGTACAGTAAGATGTCTGTTATTTAAAGTTTGAATGACGAAACCAGTGTGAAGAACAACACTGATTCCCTCAACAAATATATACCGAAAATTATTTCATCGAAATTCTGGACCTTTTGGTCGTCAAAATATGTTGAGGTTTTTTGCGACTAATACTTCAGTAGAATGTCGGTATTTCAATAGATGCTTATCGTTTACCACTCTAACTGACTTGGTTTGTACTGATATGAAACAGAACTCATTCATAATCATACTCTTCTCATAGATAAAAAGAGAAATCATCTTGCAAATCTATTTTATTTCACTTTCAGGGATATCATTGATGTTCTGTCACCCAATAACCCTTATTTTATGAGTGCTTTAATCTAATATATCCCAGAAATTTGAGATTAAAACAAAGTAGAAGGTCTGCTTCATAAGTTGATCTATTCCTCGATATTGATTGAAACAAATGGACGACTTCAAACAAGAATGTTTGACAAACATGATGAATGAAATTTTCCAATTGTCAACTTCCCATTTCTCAGCAGTAGCATACTTTCTGTTTCATCGTTTAATAACGTCGATATATCTCATTTAGTTTGTTACACTCGTACTATACAGGCTTGGTAATAGGGGTGTTCTTCTTACACAAATACGATCCCAAAAGAGTTATGAGGAAAAACGACTGACATCGACCCAAGTCAGGAGCGTGTTTTGTGCCATTATACCACTGTACCAGGTAATTGGGAAGGACGCCTTCAAACATGTTTAACCACCCTACATTCTCTATGTGTATATCCCAATGTCAAGAGCCTGTAGTTCAGGGTTTGTCGTTGGTTGATTTCTGTCCTATTTGTTTTTCATACATTGTTTTGTTATGAATTAGGCCGTAAGTTTTCTCAGTTGAATTGTTTTATATTTCTGATGACAGGGACTTTAATAGCAGACTATACGGTACGGGGTTGAAGGTTGAATGTTGTATGGTTGCCTATATTTGCTTACATCCACTTCATTTTAACTTTGATGGATAGTTGTCTCATTGTAAATCATACCAAATCTCCTTATTTTTTTTTAACTACATACGTCACCAGCACGAATTGGTTGACCAAGACGATGTGTCGGTATCAACTCACTAAAGACGCAATGTTTTCTCCCCGGTATTCCATCTTTAGATACCAATATAGTCAAATGATCGATATGTCTTATTCCCGAATGTGACATGTTTACATAATTCACATGGCGGGTAATGCATGCATAGCAGGAGACGCTTATCCTGTCGACTCACCTTGCCTCGCCCCTTTTCGAGTTCATACGATTGCCTCCTTTTTTTACCTAAATTTGTGATTCTTCTACGACTCATTCGATTTGAACATCGGTTAACTACTGTCGGTTTGATTAAAAGGTGGAAACGTAAAATCATTAGAGACATTACAATCGGGAAGCAAACTAAAATAAATGTACAGATTTCAGCGTTGTAAATCTTATTGTCATAGTCGATGTGGACATACATTCAAAACCACTTACGATTGTGCCAGAATATTGATGGTATTAAAATAAATATTTATAAAATCTTAGGATTGGCAACGTGTTATGGTTCACTAAATTATGACACTTTCATTATTTTAGGAAAGTATAAGAAGGAAGGCCATGCCAGATTCAAAAAATATTTAAAGGAACATGTTGAACTTCACATTATACCAGGTAAATCTAATATTCTACACAATTACTATAAAATTAACACTTGAATTAAAAATAGGACGATGCAATACCAAATACAGTGTTTTGGTTTTTATCATTTCACGTACTTTATATCCAAAATCTTGAGTCATTAATTCAGCCAAGCATTTACTATCAAAATCACATTTTGTATGGGGAAAGAGGTAATTGTCGTTAAAAATGTCTATGCTTTTTTATTCAATCTATGAGAATAATGAATGAAAATACAAATTGAGTATATGAATTTGAAGGATTTAAAAAAAATTACCAAGCACAAATGGTCAATTTTTGACTTATATGTCTATGGAAAATTCATAATCAGGCATTGTTTAAGGAAATGTAAAATTAAAATGGTTCAGAGCTTTCACTCAAATTGCAGTCATATACAGATTGGAGTCTTAATATTGTCCTTTCGTAAAAGAGAAGTGAACGACACCAAAGGAACGTTCACACGTATCAGTCGAAGACAAACTGACAATGCAATTGGAAAAACACTTAAAACGATCAAAAGACAAACAACAGTATACAAAACACATCATAGATACTCAAAACATTGCGAGTAATCTAAGGTTTTCCGGAAGGGTAAGCAGATCCTGATCCACGTTTGATACCCGTCGTGTTACTCATGTAAGTGCACACTCGGTGATTAGTTGAATTATGTTGGTCACGTTCGAGTAAAAGAGGACGTGATTGGAATTACGACAAATGGAACTTATCCGTTTTCATCTGTGAAACAGATATTCCATAACGGCCTATATATTTTAGTTTAAATTAATTTATCAAGGAAAGGGTTTGTATGATACTGTGTGTTCGCTGATATTTGGTATCGTTTATACTGTAGGGGTAATTTTAATTGTTGCAGGCCATACGGTGACATATAGTTGTAAACTTCTATGTCATTTGATGTGTTGTGAAGAGTTGTTTCATTGGCAATGATACAACATCTTCTTATTTTTATATAGGTACAGTGCAAACACTACAAACAAGTAACAGCCTAAAATGGCAAGAATTAGTACTCGACTGTACTGATTCTAACTATACTATTCAGCACAAGTCTGAATTTTACTGAAAATTGTTTGACTCAAATCTTATCTATACTCGACTGTACTGATCAGTACTCGACTTTGGATCATACTTACAAGTCTAAACTAGTACTCGACTAGTCTCAATCAGTCATAACCCATTTTTCTATGCATTCATTTCACGTGAAATCAATAACCAACTTGGAAGATTTTTAAAACTAGTTTATATTTTTTCAAGGAATGGGGTTGCATAATACTGTGTGTTATAGGAATTTTGGAATCGTTTATTCCTAATATTTCTAAACAAAAATCATAATCTTCCATAAAGCACAGAAAATACGGCACGGAAATCTTATTTGATATCGATCATTACAGACTGCAAAGTACCATAGGTTTCAAGATAAACTCACAATTTATCTGTAATGGTTGCGACAACTTTTTTTATATGGCCTGCTATTAACGTAATTATATTATAGATTAAAATTGTATATTGCAGTATTCAGAATAACTTTCTATGTAGATAGACCGTGAGAAATGTCTTTTGTTGAAGACATAATGCAGCCCTAGATTTGTCTTTTTTTAATTTTTTTTCGTTCGTTTGATGTCTCATTAACACGTACGCCACTACTCATTTAATTCCGAGATATTATTACTATGGTAATTCTTACTATCTCTATCTATTATAGTGAGAAGATAATAACCAAATGTCAGATTTGCTTGTACTGCTTTAAATTCCTCTTTATATATAGGACGTACACTTTGAAATTTATCAAAACTTGTCATTCAGAGGCAACAACTCCAAAATAGGTTGCCAGATTTTTTTCTGAAATTTCCGAAAACTATAGACGTTCACATAAATAAAATGTATCAGTTTTACTCTGTTGGATTTGCTCTAAAAGAGGGGCGAAGGATACCAAAGAGACATTCAATATTTTTCTCGCTGTGTTGAAGACCTATTGGTGGCCTTCGGCTGTTTTCTGTCGGTTAAAGTTGTTGTCTCTTTGGCACATTCCCCATTTCCATTCTCAATTTTATTTGTTAGTCGAAAATAGATTGACAGCGACATGGCTAAAAAAGACAAGAGTGCACACGCTGAAATACCTGGCCTACTATACTGACCATTGATTTTATGATGATAGTCCTAAGTATAAAGTTTTACTACAAGTATCACAATAACATTTATGATTCAAGAAAATGAGGTCAATGTCAGATAAACCAAATCGAAAATACATGTACACCTTTGATACAATCATTTTATACACAAAATATAGATGACCTATTGCGCATAGTATAAAAGAAACAGACAAAAGCATGGAAATTCGATATTGACCAATGAACCATGAAAATGAAGGCAAGGTCAGACTAACCCTGCCTTACAGACATATACACCCTACATGCATTCAATACACCAAATACAGTTGACCTATTGCTTAAAATTTAAGAAAATAGACCAAAACACAAAAACTTAACATTGGGCAATGAACCATGAAAAAGAGATCAAGGTCAAATAAAACCTGTCAGACTGACATGTACATCGTAAAATATTTCCATACCTCAAATATAGTTGACCTATTGCATTCAGTATTAGAAAAACAGACCAAAACACAAACACTTATCTTTGACCACTGAAACATGAAAATAAGGCCAAGGTCAGATGGCATCGGCCAGACAGACATGTTTGCACCTGTCCTAAGTCAGGAATCTGATGTTCAGTAGTTGTCGTTTGTTGATGTGGTTCATAAGTATTTCTCGTATCTCGTTTTTTTTATAGATTAGACCGTTCGTTTTCCCGTTTGAATGGTTTTACACTTGTCATTTTTGGGGCCCTTTATAGCTTGCTGTGCGGCGTGAGCCAAGGCTCCGTGTTGAAGACCGTACTTTGACCTATAATGGTTTACTTTTATAAATTGTGACTTGGATGGAGAGTTGTCTCATTGGCACTCATACCACATCTTCTATAACTATGTACACCTTACAATCATTACATACACCAAATATAGCAGACCTATTGGTTAAAGTATCTGAGATATGGATTTAACCACGAAATTTAACCTTGTTCACTGATCCATAAAATGAGGTCGAGGTCAAGTGAAAAATGTCTGACAAGCCTGCGGACCTTGCAAGGTACGCAAATAACAACTATAGTTGTCATATTACTCATAATAAGAGAGAAATTAACATTACAAAAAAGCTTAACTTTTTTCAAGTAGTCACTGAACTATGAATATGAGATCAAGAACAATGGACATATGACAGACGGAAACTTCAAATCAGAAGGCACCAATAAAATAAGTATGAAGCATCCAGGTTTTCTACCTTTTGAAATGTTTAGCTTTTAAGAAATTAATTAACGCGGCCGCCGGAGCACTGTCCCTATATCGAACTTTCTGCGGCAGAAGTCGCAGGCTCGACAAAATAGGACAAACAACAGTACACATAACACAACAAAGAAAACAAAGACAGAGCAACATTAACCCTACCGAATCTGGGGGTGATCTCAGGTTCTCGGGAAGAGTAAGCAGATCCTGCTCCACACTTTTCGCCCGTCGTGTTGTTCATGTTAGTACAAACCCGGTAATAGGTCTACTTCGGTAGGTCTACTTCGAGGAAACGGGGACGGGATTGTAAATACGACATTTGGAACATATACCATCTGTGAAACTGATATTTCACTACGATCAACCAACTCATGATGGCGTCCGTAAAATTTACGGAGGGATGATTTCAACTTCACCACTTGGAACTCTTGGTTTAATAGCTTTCTTGTGAGCAGCAGCCCTCTATCAAGGAAATCATGACAGGAAATACAAGCGCTGGAATATCGTATCAACTGTGAGATATATACTCGGCATGATACTTGATATGTTCTTCTCATATATTTTATGATGGTATGATACTTAACCCCTAACGGGAGAGATTGTCCTTTATTTTCATATGATGAAGACATAATCTTTAATCGGCTTAATTGTGGTCTGGAGCTGGCATGTCAGTAACTGCTATTAGTCCTTTGTTAATTTATGTTTTATTGTCATTTTGCTTAGTTTGATTTTTTACCTATTCTGGACTCGGACTTCTTTTTACCTGAGTTTCACTGTGCGTATCGCTGTGTGTTTGTTTAGAGGTATAGAGGGAGGGTTGAGATCTCATAAAACATGGTTAACCCCGATGCATTTTTGCGCCTGTCCTGTCAGGAGCCTCTGGCCTTTGTTAGTCTTGCATGTTTTTATAGAAAAAATTTGATTGAAAATATCTTCCTTATATTTTAGTGTTTTAGATAATGGCATATTTTCTAAGGAATTTTTTAAAGTTTGAATTCTGAATACAGGTAATGAAAAGGCTATATGTTTTTTAATCTTAGTTCATTTATATGTTTTGGAGTTAAGTGTGACGGCCATTTTCACTGAACTAGTACACATTTTGTTTAGGGGCCAGCTGAAGCCTGCCTCAAGGGTGCGGGATTTTCTCGCTGTGTTGATGACCCATCGGTGGCCTTCGGCTGTTTACTACTCTTTGGTCGGGTTGTTGTCTCTTTGACACATTCCCCATTTCCACTCTCAGTTTGATCCGTATGGAGGCGCTGCTGAACTGTTACTACATACAAAGGGAATGTTTACTATTGGGAAGCTGAAGTCATCTCTTTTGTCGTAACGTTTTGTTTTCAACCGACCCTCATTGTCAACTTTTAGATGTAGGTAAAGATATAACTGCTTTAATTTTTTTAAGCCAAAATCAGCGCTCTATCTCTATATTCTATTTAAAGCGATAGTTGCGATCTCTGTTGATAAATCAAATCCCTGGACAAATTCTGAAATTAATACCATAAGAATCATATTGGTAAAGCTTGGAAACATTTGGCGCAGTAGTTACAAAGGAGAAGATTCGTTAAAATGTTTACGACGACGGAAGGACGGACAGTCGGACGACGAGGGGCGGACGACAAATATTATTGCAAAAGTGTACATGGCCTTTTAGTCCAGGTGAAGTATTGAATGTTTTGGACCCTATGATAAACTAAAGAAAAGCCCTTTTGATACTGATTCATTTCTATTATTATTTTCCAGGATTTGAAGAAACCGGTATTTGCAATGAATGTGGAGATAGAACAAATTTTGCCATATGTTATGAACATAAAATTGTCCTTTGTAAAAAGCATACAGGGACACATGACAGCATATGTAAAGACACTAAAAAGGCTAAACAAATTGAAAAACTTAATAAATGTTCCATTTGTGAGGAAAAGATTGCCACACTCGTTTGTATGGAGTGTAGGAAATTTGTCTGTGGTTCGTGCCGAGTTTGTGATTGTTCAAACGCGAAAGGAAGTTACAGTCCAGATGTATTAATCAATAACCAAACAGTAACTACATACACACAGGCTTCCACTAATGAGGACAAAGTGTCAGATACAGTTGTTAATTCATAATATAGGAATATTCTAGACAGAACGTCAATTGTTGATAACCAGTAATGCTGCACAAATTTGACGTTGACTTTATGAAGAATTTCTTCAAATGATTTCATAAGCTGCTATTGATATTTTTACCTATTATGTCTGTTTATTTTGTTCACACATCGTTGTCAAGAATCTAAACCAAATAAAAACACATAAAACTGAATTAAAAGTTAAACTCCTTAATCATTATGAAAAATCATATAAACATAAATTTGAGAAAATAGATATTAGCAGTAAACTTCTATTATATAAAACATTAAAACAAAGTAATAAAAAAGAAACATATCTTATTCTGATATATTTGAAAATAGACGTAATATCACTAAATTAAGATTAAGTGATCATAATTTATTAATAGAAAAAGGGAGACACCTAAAAATCCCTAGGGAAAACCGGTTGTGTCAGTCCTGCATTACAACTGAGAATGAAAAACATTTTCTTTTGTATTGCAACAACAACAACAACAAATACTTTACTAGAGTCTCACCTCTTTAAAACATTTGATATAAAACACAATATGATATTAACAGATCAATTTATAAAAGAGCCACTCTAAAAGGAGTTATAAGAGACATTTATATTACATATATAACATATATCAATATATCTTAGCATAAAACACAATAATATTAAAAACAATTAAACAAAAAACAAAAAACATTCACTACTGTAACAACAGCCCATGAAAAGGCCGTGAAATGTCTGTGAAATATCACAGGGCCGTGAAAACCCCGTGAAAATACTCCGTGACTTTTGTAAAAAAAATATTTCTAAAGGCCGTGAAAAATATTTGATGTTAGAAAAAGGCCGTGAAATTTCAATATCCCGTGAAAAGGCCGTGATAACTTGTTCTTTCGTGCTTAATAAAAAATATCACGGCCTTTTCACTGGTTGTTGAAACCAGTGAAAAGGCCGTGATATTTTTTCATGTCAATTTTTTCTTATCCTAATTCAGATTTAAAACATCCCATGTGATTATTGTAATATGGTCTAATCATTTCCACTCACATTTTTCTAAATATCATATAAACTTTTCATTATAAATATATGTCTGTTTAAATATTATTATATGCAATACTACTGTACAGGACTGACTTTTAGATTGAACCATTCATTGTTATAATTAATGACTTTGTGCCAATAAATATTTTGTATTCAAAGAAAATTATTTTGCTTCTCGTCTGAACATTATTATAAACAATGTAAACATTAATTTTAATTGGAACCGAAACATGTAAAAACGAGAACTTCCCGGAATATCAGACCGTATCCGGATTCGTGTTTCTTTTAGAGTAATTGTAACATTTCCGCACTTAGGTTGGAAATTTGAAAGACGCCGAAGGTCGATTAATATTTACTTTATAGATGCAAGACGAGTGACAGCAAGTTTGAGTAAAGTTAAGTTAATATGAGGAAGGCGCTACCTTGAATGCCAGCTTACCAAAACTATGTCCTACATATTGATTGATTGTTGGTTTGCTTAACGCCCAGTGGCAAATATTTCATGCATGTTCAGGACGAATGTCCTACATATAGTTTTTGTCTAAAATAAAATAATAAGTTTAGATGGAAAATGTTTAGGGAAAGATCATTGAACTTCAAAAGGCAGAAGGAGGTATGGTATTTTTTTTTTGGTGTGTCGCAGGAAGCATCAAAGCAAAAATTTAAAATAGCCTTCCTGGACGTTATAATTATTTGGACTAGTATTTTTCTTTAAAAATTGATGACAAAAATACTCTGTTCAAGCAGAGGACAAACAAAAATATTCTGAATCCAGATTTTCCCCATACCTTCTAGTGTTTATATTTTGACTAAGTAATTTTGATTGATAGCATTGAAGTGCTTCACGTGTAAAAAATCTGACTCAAACAAAAAACCATACCCCCCTTTGAAGCTAAATGGTTGCTCCCTTATTGTTTTCTGCTGAAAATGAATTTATTGGTGATTTATATAAATGACAATGCTTACATTCATTATCTTGTGCATTTTCATATCCATTTTTCTTTCTTTGCAAATTTTATAAAATTTAAAACAATAAGACATTTGTTTAATTTCAAAACTATGAATACTGTACAGTTATACAATCCATAACTTTATTAAATTAATTTTTTGTTGATTTTCATGAAAAGGTGGAGGATTTGGAATATCTTTTTCATCAATATCTAAAAGTTGTAGCGTTTTTTTTTATTTAGTATTGCAAACAACGCTTTCTGTTTGTTGAATTATTTTTACTTTCTAAATTAGCTGGTTGTTCATATTGTATTCCCAGTTTCCTGCATCTCATATAAGAGGATCATTCTGATTGTTAAAAGAAGAGTTTGAATTTACAGTTAGCCTGCTTAGAATAATGTTTTGATCAGGTTTTTTATTTTCATCTAAGCATATAAGGAACCATAAATAGGATTGTTAAGTTGATAATCTAAAGATTCATCTATTTTCTAGGATGCTATTTAAAATTTGAGGGGAGAACACTGCTCAGCAGTATAAATGTATTCCTGATCATCTTCTTTTTGTGGGTTTCTACATCAATTTCATGTACTAATTCAGAGTCGGTTTTATGTCATTTCTTGCATAATTTGTTTTATTAGCTTACTTTTCAAGTTTTTATACGACGGCAATATAAAATTGAGAATCGAAATGGGGAATATGTCAAAAATTTGCTTTCGAGTAATGCTATCATGTCGCTGTTGCTGTCCGAAGACACATTTGGTTTCCGGACAATAACTTTAGTTTAAGTAAATGGATCTGTATGACAATGTATGAAATTGTACCAGAAGGTTCAATACACAAAAGGAATGTTAGAATTGATTTTGGGGGTTATGGTACCAACAGTTTAGGAGTCAGTGGTCAAAAACAACATTTTTGGGTTGTTTTTTTTCCATAATTTTTGGGATTTTTCTCCAAAAATTTACCATTTTTACATTGAATATTTCTCATTTATATATAAATGCAACAAATACTGATATGGGAGGTGATACACACGAAACAGTGTGTGTAATTCATTTTATCGGTAATTTGTGCATTTTTCCTTTGATGTGTATACTCCTTGTCCTTGATAATGTTGACGTCATTATCAGTGGACTGGTCATGATAAAGAAAATATACTGGGTTAGTTCGCAATTGACATGCACAAGTGCACCGCAAAAGGATCTTCTTTCCCTTTAATTCACAAAATTGCACGTGATTTTTTTCACAGAAACGCACACGTTATTTCATGAATGAAACACTTGTCATTGTTTGAAACTTTCACAGTAATCAGCTGGTAATAAAACGTTAGTTTAGCCTTTTTGAACGATTCACTGATTGTGTGAAAATTTGAACAGAAAATGTACGATAAACCTGATAAAATTGCGGAATTATTGATAGCTTTCCTTACTATTCACAAGGACATATCACTAACATATCGTCCATGCTATTCCGATTTGAGTTTTTATTCCTACATAGTCTGGCATGGCTGGTGCTGTTCCAAGTTGTCTTCTTTTGCTGCATGTTTCTTGAGAAGTATTTGTTTGACCTGGTCAGTCACTATAAAGTGTTACAATTCATATTAAGACGCAACACATAAATAGTGACCAAAAAGGTACCGCTTTCACATGCATGACATGAGAGAATCTAGAAAAAAAATTAAATGTACACATTTTCAACATTTTTGTGGGACTATCATATAAAATTAAGGAGATATGTAGTTGGAGACTGCTGCTGAATAGAAATGTATGGGCTCACCTGATACCTGTTTTCAAATCAGTCCATATTAAAGTTTGAAGGGTCCAAAATTAAAATATGTTTGATTTCAACTGACATAAAATTTTTGGTGTTTTTTATATGCTAAATCTACATCTGTGGTTGTATCAGGCTGTGCTTGGCGAAGCATTTTATTGCTGTTTTGTTTGTACTTTATTTTATTTTGGTCATGAAAATTAACTTGTAGTTGTGAAGTTGCTAACATTTTTAAAAGATGATAATTAGATAACTTCGCATGGTGACGACACTGATGTTTTCGTAGATTTACTTTTTCCCAGGAATGCTTCATCTGTTGATACATGTATATTCTCACTGTGAACGATTTGTGTCTCAAAAAAAACTTGTAAGATTTCTGCAGTTATTTTTGTTGAATACATACATACACATAGGGTGAAAATTGGGTACTTGGTGCAATTTGGGTACTGTGACGATATAGCCATAATTGTTTATTGCTATAATAGGTTGAAATGTGCACCTGATAAAAGTATTCGGTAAAGTGAAAATGTTTTGATCAGGTTTAAACTGACGCATAAAATATACTGGTGACTGCTGGAGGCAAATATTTATATTGCCTCCAAATAATGTGTCTGCAGCTTGAATTTCAAAAGATGTATGTAGCCCACATACTTCCAAGTAACATGCTCTATACCTATCAAAAGTCATGGTATTATCATGGGTTATCATAACTCCATTGTAATTCCCATAAAATCCAATTTTGGACAATATGGGAGCATACAATATATACCTAAATGTATCACTCAGACTCAAGTCTCCTTTTACTATGATTAAACTTAGAGAGTGAAAAAAAAACAGTCTCCATCTCCTGGGACTGTTTAAGGTAGATATGTGTCATAATTAATGACAAGATTTGTTGAGAGTTTGTCAAAGGAAGTACAGTGACAGTCTCCAAATTAGAAGATTGTGAATTTGAATATATATAAATTTTTTTTTAAACTTTTGTTAAGTTTTGAATTACACCTGCATTTGTCTGTTAGCTGGGAATAACAGTGACCACATTCCACAGTATAACCAACTTCATTATCACTGTAACTTGATATGGGAAATTCTGTAGCAGATTTTACTACCTTCACCAGGTCAGGAATAACCACCAATTGATGGATTATACCTCAATTGACGTATAATCCACCAATTGACATATATTGGTATAGACCAATTGGCGTATAATGCAATTTTTTTGTTATAAAATGCTAGTGTGAGATAGGAGCATCATTTTGCAACTTACAACCTATTTTATAACCATTATTGAGTCCTCCTGAAAGTTTCAGTTTTGTCAAAGCCTGCTGCATCTCTAATGAGAATGCATGTGTACAACAATTCTTTTGTTGAAACATCTGTACTATTGACCAAGAATTGACAAGATAACAATAGAAGAAACTGCAAATACAATTATTGATTAAATGCAATATGTTATGTCACTATACTAAACTAGGAATGTTTGACATGTTTTCATACAGTTATATGGTTTTAAGAAAACAATGCTCCATTTTGGTTGAATAATTTGCTTTAAAAAAAAAAATTATACATCAATTGGTCTATACCATTACATGTCAATTGGTGGATTGTACGTTAATTGAGGTATAATCCACCAATTGGTGGTTATTCCTGACCTGTTCTGTGTTCACCTCCGCCTCCGGCTACGTTTCTCCCAAAATTTATTGCTTGCACTGCAGATGGTTTTTCTGTGTTCCCATGGCTGGACGGAACTTTTACACTCAAATGTTATCATTAATTATGATATTGTGACTTTTAAATGAAGTACCTGTGGTAATTTAGGAGATTTGTCACTGATAATGGAAAGATGAAGCAGACGACGAAACATGGCGTAAGATGTTGTTGTCCAAACTTCGGTTGTTTCCGTGGTACAATAAAATTGAAATAAACTGCACAAGTTACTAAAATTTCTAAATTCTTGTATTTGTAAACAAATAAGAATTCATGTCACATTTAACATCAAATTTATTCCGTTTTGTCCCGTTTTTTCAAGATCGCGATTAAACGAGAATGTGGCAGCCATCAAAAATATAAGGGTTAAACTAATGTCCTGAAATTGTCCTTACGGATATTCCAATGCTAATTTCGTTTTCATTATTTGAAGAATGGACCTTATATTTGGAGCCAAGCAAGAATACAATGTTTGTTTAATAAGTATAATGAAAAAAAAAAGAAAACAAATATTTTTAAGAGTTAAATAACTTGACTTGATCTACTTCGAAAATTAAAAAAAAAAATCGTACGAGATTTAACGAGAGTGACGAAACTTTTTAGATTGCTCATGTAGAGAGAGTTATCGTTCTTTATTCCAATTCGATGCTTCTACCATAAGTGCCAGCTAAAGCTGGCATATTAATATTTTATTCTTTTATGCATCATATCACCAAAATGTTGATGACGTTTGTGAGCATTTCCTGGAATCCATTGAACTGATTTTGACTGAATTTGCAGAAAGTGCGCAAACATGCATGTGATATATTCACTTATATTTAAGTCTGTTGCACTTGATTCCTTTAATCATTTCGGTTAATGTTTTCTAAGACTTACCGGATCCTTTAAATACGAGTACGGTTTTGTTTTGTTTATGTATTCGGGGAAAAAAGGGGGGGGGTCCTTTTTCCCCACACTGGCCAC